CGTATGCTCACCAGAAAGAGAGAGACAGAAAGTGAGAAATCATCCCCCAGGGGGCATGGCCACGCCGCAATCCCTTCTCCTCCATTCCACTCACGAGGATCTTGGGCATGCATGTACACATGCCCAGCGTGAGTTTAAGCCACCGAGTCCGGGACTCGAACCACGGTCGACTACATGGGAGTCCAGCAACATAGCCATTACGCTAACGGCTGGTTCCTCTGATCCACATTTTAAGATAATTTTTACTTAGTTCTTAAGACAAACAAAAATTTTCTCAGGTTTTCTAAGTGCAATTGCTTCACATGTGAAGGTTACCTTGCACTGCAATTTGGACATGTCGCTCCAAAATTCATGCGTTGAGCCCTTGTAATGAGATTAAGAGAGGGAAAACTTGGGAACCAGCAGTTAGCGTAATGGCTATGTCGCTGGACTCCCTCGTAGTCGACCGCGGTTCGTGTCCCGGACCCAGTGGCTTAAAAAACTCACGCCGAGCGCGTGTGCGTGCGTGCCCAAGATCCCGAGAGGAGAATGGAGGAGAAGGGATTGCGGCGTGACCATCCCCCCTGGGGGGTGATTTCTCGCTTTCTGTCTCTATGTCTCTCTCTGTCTGTCTGGCGAGCACACGCGCCCTACAGTGAAAATCTCTCAAAAAAAAAAAAAAAAGAGAGAGGGAAAACTTGAAGCGATTATGGTGTTGAAATGTGAAGCTTTGGGGCAGAGTATCAAAGTCTTTAGGGCAGGGCCCTCATGATTAAAGGCTGGTGAGTTTTTATTTATTCTTTGTTCATGATAATGTGCATGAGGGGGAGAGAGAGAGGAGCACCTGTGGAGTCTGCTCCTCTTATGACCCCCCTCCTCCAGTCCTCCAGCCCACCAGATCCCAGGCACTCACACGTGCTCCAATAGGTCTTGGGTTGACCAGGCAGGGGATTTGAACCATGGTTGCTGTGTAGGACTCAGCTTCTCTTGAGCACTGCATTACTGCTATGCCACGGAGCGGGCCTCTGGTGGGTTTACAGGGAGAGGAAATGACACCAGGACAGCGTGTGACTCTACTGGACACAGCCGCTCTGATCTGCTCTTGCTCACACATTGTTACTATAACTGCATGACGACCACAGGACACGGCCCTGGACCTCGGACTTCTAAACCGCAACTTTTATAAATCAGCTCTATTTTTATAAATCCCATTTCAGGTATTTTCTGTTATTAGCAAAAAAGCAGACTAGAACACATTGGAAAGGACTAACTTACAGGAACGTGGTGTATCTCTCTACATGTGGAAGTATTTAAAGTAAATCTAAGGATCAGCAGATGGCATAATGGTTGCATTGCTGGACTCCCAAGTAGTCAACCGTGGTTCAAGTCCAAGACCTGGTGGCTTCAAATTCATGCCAGGCGTGTGTGTCTGTGTGTGCACACTCAAAATCCCGAGAGGAGAATGGAGGAGAAGGGATTGCTGCGTGGCCATCCCCAGGGGGCGGGGGGGGGGTGATTTCTTCCTTTCTGTCTCTCTCTGTCTCTCCAGTGATTGCACATACCCACCCTATAGCAAAAATCTCTTTTGAAAAAAGTTAAAGTAAATCTATATAAATTTAAAAAAAAAAACAAATAATTTACACTCCAAAGTTCTTCACTGGCTCCAATCCTTCAGCTGTGAGGACACACTGTAGGGTCGTACTAAGGTTGACTTGTGCTGCAGGGTGCTCTTTTTTCTTTCTTTTTATTTCTCCACAGAGAGAGAGACAGCACCCCAACAGGGTTCCAACACTACAATCTCCCCAGCCTTCAGCTGGCCCTGAATGGTGGGTGCAGACAAGCAGGGCTGCTAAGTTACTGTGGACGTCACGGTACCCTTTGACAGGATACGGTTTGAAGGTTAGGAGTCTCTCCCCAGGAAAACGCCCTCTCTCCTCTGTTTGATCTGTCTCTCTCTCTCTCTCACACGCACACACATTCCACAAATAATTACCAGGTTAAGAGTATAGGTTCTTGGGGCCAGCAGATGGTGTGATGGTTAAGGTGCTGGACTTCCACATGGCTAATCATGGTTCGAGTCCTGGACTTGGTAGTTTGTTTTTCACTTTCTCTCTCTCTCTCTCTCTCTGGTGAGTGCACATGCCCTATGGAAAACTTTTAAATGATAGTAATAAATAAAATGTGAGGGTCGGCAGGTGGCATGATGGTTAAAGACACTAGATTCCCATATGGCTGACCGCGGTTCAAGTCCCAGACCTGGTGGCTTGCTTTCATGCCTTCTCTTTCTCTGACTCTCTCTGGTAAAATTTAAAAAATAATAATAACAAATGGAATTAAAGAAATGTTAAAAATAATAGTAATAAATAAAATGAAGCAAAAAATTCTTTTTTTAAAAGTTACAAAATGAGTATGGGTCCTTTAAAGAGAAAGCTCTATTTTTTAAAAAGTGTGTTTATTTATTTATTCTATCAGTGAGAAAGAGAGATGGCACCCCAAGAAGGTCTTGACTTTACCATCCATCCCCAGCCTCAGCCAGCCGCAGATCACGGGCACACTCATGCCCTAGGTGCTCAAGGAGGTCTCTAGCCTTGAACCAGGAGCCTTCCCCTGGGGAACTGTCTTGCAAAGCATAGCATTTACCGCTGCGACACCATCAGGTGCCCATAGTGCTGTCTGGTCTTCCTCACAAGTGTCTCTCTGTGCATCCTTGACACACTTCCCGATCTCATCATGCCCACGTCACAGGAGAAACAGGAGTGCAGAGAGGGCAGTGACTTGCCAAGATCGCCCTCGTGCTCAGAGGCAAGGCTGACCAGAGGCCCCGCGGTTTTCAGGAAGCTGCTGCCTCCTTTCTGGGTTCTGATCTTTGACTTCTTAAGGGCTGCTGGTACCTTTGTTCTCTTTGGCAGCTCTTCAAGTGACCTGGATGTACGGGCACAAGATGGTACTTGATTTGGGGCATAAGGCCAGTCCGTTGCTCCCAAAGAAGAGGTGGCCATTAGATGACAGGCTTCGTTTTCTCACGAAGCTATGAGTATCCAGCCTTAGAGATGAAGGCTTCTTTGAAGGAAGAAACATAGGGGGTGTAGAGAAAAGAATTCGGGTCTACCCCGCTGAGGACAAGTTACTTTTCTTTCCTGGGCTTTGGTTTCTTCTTTCTAAGAGAGGATTCAATACAATATGCCTCGTAGTCTCTTCATGTACATTATCAGAATTAGATAATGGATGCTCAATGAGTTCGAGATTGCCAAATGCTAATGTGTGGTTACCCAGCGGCCTTTGTTTCCCAGAAGCCCAGGGCAGCGCCAGCTGGGGTCAGGGAGGGCTGTGCAGAATGGAACTTTGTTCAATGAGTAGACCATTGCACTAACTTAATTTGGTCCCTACAGTTCCCCTCTGAGATAGCTTTTTTTTTTTTTTTTTAAAGAGATTTTCACTGTAGGGCGCGTGCGCTCGCCAGCCAGACAGAGAGAGACATAGAGAAAGAAAGGGAGAAATG